ACTGCCCTGGAAGCGAACCCCACGGCCCGGAGGACCCAGCTGCAGCACAAGTTTGAGCAGGTGGTGGCTCTGATGGAGGACAACATCTATGAGTGCTACAGCGAGGCCTGACCGCGGGAGCCGGTGCTGGGGAGGGGCGAGGCGCCCAGCCCTCCGCTTCATTTTGTTCTCAGTGCCTCTGACTCCGCTGGGACATGACTGAGCAGAGTCGGCTGCAGGGAGCGGGGAACGAGGGGCCTCTCTGAGCCAGGCAGAGGAGCCCCCAGCCCGGGCCCCTTGGGCACCTTTGTCCCTCCTACTGCCCTCGACCCTGTCTCTGGGATGGGGACCTGGGTGCTGCAGCCATCCCTGGTAAGGCTCCCACCGTCCACCCCACACAGCCTGGACGGAGCCCCACTCTCTCTGCCACAGCCAGCTGCTGAGAACCCGCCCTACGTGTCCCACCGCTGACGGACAAACGGGGAGAAGAGGTCGCCTGGCCCAGAGGCCGCAGCCGGAAACACTACCTCATCCAACCTGGCGGAGGGGAGGCCTCCTTGAACCAGCCCTCGGCTGGTTTCTGCTTCAACCACCAAAACCTTGTCTCTGTCCCCTCCCCACCCAGACAGGACCCTGGCCACACACCATTTCAAGCAGTGTCAGATTTTTGTTGCTCGAGGGGCTGCTGGTGGCATGGGCAGCGCCCACTGCCCTCGAGCTTTCCCATGAGCCAGGGAAGATGGAGGGTGAGGGGACAGGTGCTGGGCGATCCTGGTCTCGACGCGGGGGACAGAGGCTAAGTTGTACCAAGGCTGTAGCTGGGCTACTTGATATTGCTGGAAGTGTTTCTAAAGATAGCACCATTTTTTGTTGTTTTTTTTAAAAAAAAGCTTTTATATATTAAAAAACTTATCACGCGCCAACTGTGAATAGCTGCCACTTGTGCAGAGGACCTGGGGAGGGGAACCGAGGGGCTCCCAATGCAACACTGGAAATGACTGTGCCAGAGGACGGGCAGACCTGGTGGAGACCCCCTCTATGCCCTGAGAAGATCGCCCATCTGTTCCCGTCGGAAGCAACCCTCTGTGGCAGACCTGGCCCCCCTGCAGCAGACCCAGCCAGCGCAGGGACTGGCTCAGAGCCCACAGGGGCTGGGCGGGAGGGGGTGGCAGGGACGCTCTGGAACCTTCTTTATAATAAAAGCCTGATGGGAAAACCTGCTGTGGGCTGCAGCCTTTGTCCTGAGATGGCCAAGGAGGGGAAGCTGTGCTCGCAGCAGAAAGGAGAGCGGGAGCCTGGCCCAGCACCTGCCTTGGCCGCCTTCCTCTTGAGCTTCAGGCAGACGTCTGACGCAGCTTCTGAGAAGGCGAGCGCGATGGGAGGGTTCGGTGGGATAATGCGGGCGGCTGGCTTGCCGTGGGCCTGGCCCGCAGCTGACAGTCCCTGGGCTCTGAGGGCACCTGTGGGACCTCCAGGAAGATGTAGCTGCTGTGTGCCACCTACCCCTGGGCGGCCGTGCTCCTTACCTGCTCACCTTGATAACAAGCTTGTGAGGAATGTGATCTTGTCCCCATTTCACAGATGTAGAAACTGACTCTCAGCATGGTTGAGGAATTTCCCCACGTCACACAGCCAAGGAGCAGCAAAGTGGGGACACAAAGCAGGTCGCACGGGCCCCTCATTCCTCTATTCTGTGCTTCCTCCAGGCCAGAGTGTCACAGCAGCCCCTAAAATGTTTGGGGAGGTCCAAGGTGACCACCCTGTAAAGAGAGTGGTCATTTACACACTCGCCCTGAATTTCCCATCAACCTTGAAAAATGTGTATCATTAACCCCATTTTTTCAGATGAGGAAACAGACAGTTTCCCCAAGGCCGACGTAACCCTGGACTGTTCCCAGTAGGACAGGCTGTTCCCCATCACAGCCCATGAGGACGGTTACCCTGACCTGGGCCAGCAAATACCACAGAGACCCCCAGCCTACCCAGCTGGCTCTGGGCCTGGGCTGGGGGGTGAGGTTCCTCCCCAACCCCCCGGAAAAGGTTACTAGAGAACCATTTCCAAAATAGAAGCAACTCAAGTTAGTTCTTTTCCCTTTATGAAGGAAAAATCATTACACATACATTTGTCAAAAGCAAGAACTAGGACAAAAAAATTCATACGATTTAAACGAAATCCCACAAATACCAGTTCTAGAATTAATGAGAACAGAAAAGTGAGAAGAGAAAAGTAAACAGTTTAAGCTTTAAAAATAGCCTTTTCCTATAGTGGCTTCTGGGTGGAGAGAGAGTCTTTGTCTTTTCAAATTTTCTATTCTGAGCACTGATTCCTTTTTATTAAGCAGCAGATTTTCTAATTTAAGTTATTGACACATTTGATAGGGATTTTTTCTTCTTTGGTGTGATTCTAGAATGAATACATGTTTCCTGCAGAAATGTCAGGAAGGACAAAAAGCATGAAGGAAATAAAAGCCACCCTCACCCGCCCTGGTGAGTCTCAGAGAACGTTGTCTCAGACCATGTGCCCACCTGGGCTGGGGGCTGAGGAGTGAAATTGGGATTGGGCTGTACACACCATTTTGTCACCTGCCTTTTCCCCCATGCAACAATATGTCAGTAACATCTTTCTATGTCATTAAATATTCCACAGCCTGTTTTAATGCCTGATTAACATGCACTTCCTTCTTGAAGCTAGGAACGCATTTGCAAATGGAGGAAAGCTCTAGTTTCTGAGGTCATTTCTCGGCGCAGAAGGGGGCCAACTTCCACGAACCGCCCACAGTCCTTGTCTGGGGCCCTAAAGACTTGCAACTACGGGTGTCCCTTTGCTCTGTCTGAGGGGCAGCGTGGGGCGGGGAGCTTGGGCGTAGTGTTCTTGAGCAGGAGCGGAGACTGGCAAGAGTCTCCTGGGTGCTATTTGGCCTCTGCCAGGTCAAGGGGACTGGCCTCCCCCAAGCTCACGGACAGGAGATGCCCAGTGGTGCCCCCTCTCCGCACCCCCGGGGTGCCTCCCACAGCCCCCAGCCAAGCCGTGAGAAGAGTGAAGGCAGAACCAGATCCCTCTGCAGGAAGCACCAGCCCAGCCCCCTGCCATCTGCGCACAGTGCCCCTCGGGGCCTGCTGGCAGCCACATTACAGATACCCCAGGGAAGCTGTCAGCACCGCCACACAAAGCCTCATGTGGGATTGGGGGAGGAGAAGGAGGGGGTGAGGGAGCAGGGGCAGGAAGGGAACAGTCTGATGCCCCATGCTGGCCTGCCTCAGTTTCCCTTTATGCCCCGTCTGCCCCCTTCCCAACTCCCGTCCAGCTTACCCCCGACTCCCTTCAAATTGATCCCTTCTTCTCTGCCCCCTCCCTGGTCACCGCCCAGCTGAACCGTCCCTCGGCATCCTCCTGACTGAGCTGAGTCCTCACCCCAGGAAATGGTCGCTGAGTAGTCACCTAGCTGTGCAGACCCCAAACTGTGGACTCAGCACCGCCCCGTTCTACAGCCAGTCCCTCCACACACCCCATCCACCCTGCTTCAACATCCACTCAGAACTCCCCCCTTCTAGCCCCTCCCCCCATGGCCTCCCCTCACCTGGACTGCAGGGGCCTCCTTGCCGGCCGCCTGCTGCTGTCCACGTCCCCCTGCAGCCCCCCTGCTGCTCGCTGTCCCCTAATGGCTCCTCATCACCATTAAAACCCAAAGTTCTTACCCTGGCTTACAAGGCCCTTCAGGGTCTAGCCCTGCCTACCCTGCAGCCCTTGCTAAGGTCATCTGCTGCTGCGGACAAGCCGCTCCAATACTCAGCGGCTTCAAACAGCCACCCTTTATGTTGCTCACGCACCTGCACTCGGGCAGGGCTTGGCAGGGCAGGCGTGTCCCTATTCCAAGTGGTGTCAGCCAGGGCAGCTCAACCGGCGCTATGAGACCCAATTCCAAGACGGTGCGCTCCTCCGGCTGGAAAAGTGGTGCTGGCTGCTCAGCGAGCCCAGCCGGGCGTGGAAACTGGGGTGCCTTGGCTCCTCTCCACCGGCTGCTTGGGCTTCCCCACAGCACGGGGGCTGAGTTCTCAGAGCAAGTATCAAAAAAAAAAACCCCACGCAGGAAGTAGAAGCTGCCCGTCTCTTAAGGCCTGGGCCCAGGAACTGTCATAATGTCATTTCCACTGTATTCTATTGGTCAAGCAATCCCAGAGCCCAGATTCAAGGGACAGGGCCACCTCTCCACGGGAAGAGTGTCACAGACATTCTTAAAGCACCCAGACCTCATCTCTTATTACTATCCTCCTTCACTGAGCTTTAGCCACAGGGGCCTCCCTGCAGCTCCTTGAGTCTGTCAAGCATGTTTCTGCCTCAGGGCCTTTGCACTTTCTCCTCCTTTTGTTCATTAGAGCAGGGCCCACAGTCATGCTCAGTAACCAGTTGTTAAATGGTCTCTGACTCCTCTCAGCTCCTCAAATCCTCCTCTTTGCAGCCAGAGGGCTCTTTCTAAACACACACATCAGTCTCTCCCCTGCCTATAACCCTCATTGGCTCCCCACTGCCCCCAAGAGAAAGTCTACCTTCCCTAGTCTACCCCTCCCCACCCTCCTGCCCCATCCCCCAAGGCCCAGTGGCTCATGCCACCCCTCTCCCCACCTTCATTTCAAAGCTACAAATCCCCCTCCTTCCACCACACCATCCAGTCCCACCCCACATGCTGGGCCCTCTGCCTGCAATGCCCTTCCCCGCATCTGTCTGGCAACTCCTGCTCAACCTTTAAGACCAAAAGCTGCCTCCTCCAGGAAGCAGTCCCAGATCTCAGGCTGGGTTAAACACCCCGCCTGTGCCCCCACAGTCCCCTACATGTCCTTGGATCCCTGCACCAGCCCTTTACATTGTACAGTGTATCTCCCCCAGGGCGGGAGCCCCGGCCCTGGATCACCAAATCCTTGGACCTCAGCCTCCTTCTGCACCAATTTGCAGACAAAAAAAACAAGTCTTTATTGATAAACAGGTTACAATGAAATAAATAGTGCTGTTTTTTGAGGAATAAAGCTCAAGCAGAATCTCTGTCTCTCCCCAGCACACCCCTAGCTCTTGGCTCTGTCTTCTTACTGGCCGCTTTGGACGACGAGGCCTTGGTGGGCATACAACGCCTTCTCGGGTCCTTGTGGGCCTCCATCTCCCCAGCCAATGGTGCAGGCATGGTCTTGGATGCACTGCCCTTAGGAGGAGCAGTGGGCCTAGCTCTCGGCCCCGCCCTGGCCCCATGGGCAGCGGCCTCCTTAGGGACCTTGTTCTCCATCTTCTTTCTGGCTGGGCAAGCAGCACCTCTCTCGCCCTATGAGAAAGCGAGCCAGAGCTGGTCAGGGTGGGGCACACGGCTGGGCGCCCATGAGCGTAGGGTTGAAATCCCTGCGTGGCTCTGGGTGGCTTTGGACAAGTGACCTCACCTCTCTAAGCGGCCGTCTCTTATCTGTAAAATGGGGATGGTGGTCCTCAGTGTGCTGGGAGGCCGGAGAGGAGAAGAAAGTGAACTGTGCTTTGCAGGAAGATTAACGACCCCTTCCCCTGCTGACTCTTCCAGGGGCTGGGTGTGGGACGCCCGAGCTCCTTCCTATTCAGGGTGGAGACCCAGCCCAGAGGAGTCATGCAGGCACCTACCTTGGTGACCGTGGGTTTTGAACTCTGACTCCCATCTTTTGTTTCTCTGTGGGCCTCAGCATCTGCGGGCAGGTGGGGAGGGCGTATGGGAAGGACCCTCTCAGGAGGAGCTGCTGGTGGCCAGGGAGGTTCGGGGGCCCCAGAGCCCCGTCCTGCCCAGGCCCCAGTCCTCACTCAGACACTCACAGGCTGTGTGACCCGGGGCAAGTTGTTTAGCCGCTCTGAGTCTGGGTGCCCTCATCCGCAAACTGGGCATAACGGCATCTCTCTCACCGGGTGGTGGGAGGATCAACTGGACTGTGGATGGCCATCCCTCACTCCGAGCAAAGCACCAGGGTGGCCCCCTGCTCCGTGCCCGCCCACACCGAAGGCCATCAGGAGGTTTATCAGCCTCTAGTCTTGAGCCCATCTCCACACGGCAGCGGGATATATTTTAAAAATACCTCAGACTCTAGCTGTTTCTTGTTCCAAGGCCTTCCACGGCTCCTCACTGCCCTCCAGATAAGGGAGGCTGCCCTGCACAGCCCCTGCCACTTCCCCTCCCACCCTGCACAGCGCTGTCTGCACCTCCTCAAAAGCTCCACCTCCTCCAGGACTCTGCACAGGCTGTTCTCCTGCCTGGGACACCTCCTTCAGGAAGCCTCCCCAGACTCCTCAGAGAAGAGTCAGGCTCCTCCTCTCTCTGGGTTCCCGCGCCCACCCCCAGCTGCTACCATGAGGTCTCCAGGTCGAGCCAAGCACTCAGGGCACGTTCGCTAGATAACGAAAGCCCTCCCCAGAGCTGGCCCTCCATCCCACCTCCCGTCCAGTCCAGTGGCCAGAAGCCCGAACCCACGCCTGACTCACCCTTTCACACACCTACCTTGGCTGCTTCTGCCTTTGACCTTTGACTTCCCGCCAGGCCCCCGGGCACTGGGAGGGGCCCGCCTGGCCTTGTCTGGCTGTCTGGGGGCCTTCCTGGCCTCGCCCAGTCTTGCCTCTTGGTCCTGGGTCTGGCTGCCTTTCTTGGGGGCCTTCTCTTCAGCTGCACCTGGTTTGGAGGGAGCCGTCCTCACGTCCCCTGCCCTCCTGGGTCGCTTTTTCATCTCGCCTGCATTGGGAGGGTCCTTCTTTGCCTCGCTTGGTTTCTTGGGGCCCTTCACCTCAGCCTCACCGGGTCTCCTGCGGGCCGTCATGGCGGATGTCTTCCTGGGTTGGATTTTCCTTTTGTGCTTGGGGACCAACTGGCAAAGGAGAGAAAGGGACGTGATTGGGAGCAGAAGCTCCGGGTGTCTCACGTCCCTACACCCTATGCATGGCTCAGAGAAGGCCCCATTCTAAAAGAGGGGGCAAAGAATGTGGTCAGGGGCATGGGGCAGGACCCCCGACACCTCCTAAATGCCCGACGCCATAGCCCTGCACTGACAGCCCCGACCCCAGTCCTCTGAGATGCTGATCTATGAATGTCCTTTGACCCCACCCCAAGCCTTCCCATGAAATGTCGCTGACTGCCCCTGCCTGTCCGTCCAAGGCCCTGCCCCATCTCACACCTCTGCTTCTCCACACCCTCCTCTCCCCTTATGCCAGCGGAACGTGGACCTCGAGCTTAGACAGCTCAGAGTTCACCACTTCCTCCAGCCCTCCCCAGCTATGCGACTTGGCCAAGTATTCTCTTCCCCACTGGCCTCAGTCTCCCCATCTTTACAGCAGGGCCATCAGGGAGGGTGTAAGTGGCAGGGGGATGTGAGGGGCCCTGGCAAACAGGTGCTTCCTGCTCTTCCTGAGTCCAGCTCTGATGACATTGCTCTACCTGCTCCCAAGCCCTCATGGCTCCCCATTACCCACCAAGACCAGAAACAACCTCCACTCCCAGCACTCCTAACTCCATGATACCCCAGGCCCCCTTCCCTGCCTGCCATCCCCTCAGCCCACTTTCCTGACTGGCTCCCAGGCCCTGCAGCCTCGCCCAGCCATGCGTGCCCCCAGCATCCCCTCTTGCTCTCTTTTGCCCCACCCTATGCACCTGGCCTTGCCATGGCTTGTGTCCAAGCTCTGACCCACACCCAGTTCTACGAGGACTTCCCGTGTTCAGCCACCTGGTTACCACAAGAACTGGAACGTGGTAGGTTGAGATTGTTCCACAGTGCTCCATGGCGACTGTCAGAGCAACTGCTGTGTGCTGGGGTACAGAAATGACCAGACAGATGCCATGTCTGGGTTCCTGCGATTTCCCAGGTGGCAGCTGGTAGTCACGATGCTGGGGTTTGATTTTGTGCCAAATCTGCCCTCAGCTCTGGGTGACCCTGCACAGGTCCCCTCTGAGAGCGTGGTGGCTCAGGGAAGTGCCAGCCCTGGTTTGGAGATCCCAGGTTTGGAGCCAGAGAGCGTGGGGAGCAAACTCCAACTCTGACCTTCTAGAGCCCAAGGTTGGGTCTGCCTGGTCCGCGGTGAGGAATTCCAGGAAGGGGCTCTGAATGCCAAGGACCCAGAAGTGAACACAGCTGAGATGGTCCCTGGTCACTGAACACACCCAATGGGGATGAAAGGGGACACAGCAGGGTGCCCAGGGCCGTGGGGGCGCTCAGACAGGGCACACACATCAGCCTTCCTGGAGGACAGCGTGTTTCCCGGAAGAGGCAGGAAGAACAAGAAGAAAAACAGCAGGAGAAAGGCCTTCCGGCAGGGAAACAGCACCCAGAGGAAGAGAGCTGGAACTGAAGTTCAAACCCTGGGGCCTAGTGTTACCACCGCCCCCCGCCCCCCCAAAGCAGGCTCACTTTGAAGCTGCCGGTCGCCCCCTTGGCCTTGGAGTTGAGGGGCCTGACAAGGAGGCCGCGGCGCATGCCCGTGGCCAGGGCCTGCTTCAGCAGGTACTTGAGCCGGATGAGGTCCACCGTGGGGTACTTCTGCAGGATGTACACCTTGATGGCCGCCACCGAGGTGCCCCGGCGCCGCTCCCCCGCCTGCAGCGCCTCCAGCACCATGCGCAGCACGGGAGGGTGGCGGCGCGGCGCTGGGACGCCGCCTCGGCTCGTGCCTGCGGACGGACAGCAGGACGTCAGCCAGAGCCCAGGCCGCCCGCAGGCCCGATCACCAAACGTGCCCGGCGGAGCACGCCCAGGCGCCAGCCGGGCCCGCGGGGTGGGCGAGGGGCCCGGGGGATCCAGTGCGCCCCCAGTCGGCGCCTCTGAGCAGCCCGAGGGCAGGGCAGGCCCTTGGCGGGGGGCTGGGCGCACACCGGGCACACCATCAAGACTCACTGAAAGAACTACATCGTCCTTCTAAAAACAGACCCAAATCAGGGCAGTTGTCTACATCTAACTACCAGTTTGCAGGAAATCCAGGGGCTCTGTAAGGGGGCCACGGGGATGAATCAGCCGGCTCCAGACTGTGAGGAGCTCTGCGGGGCACAGCACGGCTTCTCCTACAAGAGCCCGAGGAGGAAAAGAAGTGGGAGGGGCCCCCAGAGGCACAAGACACTGAAGAGACCTTTCGACCAAATGCAACGTGGGGGCCTTGCTCCAACTCAGAACACCAGTGAAATGATCCAACTGGAAAAATAAGTCAACTAGATAAATGTGAGCATTGGAAGTATTTGATGATATTAAGGACGATATCAATTGTTTCAGGTGTGCTAATGGTATTGCAATTATTTTGTGCGAGGTTCTTTTAAAGATAAATACTGGACGATTTACAGATGAAATGATAAGTCCAGCATTTGCTTCAAAATAACCCAGTAGATGAAACAAGAGTAGCCGCGAGCTGATAACTGTTGAAGTTGGATGATGGGTGTGCAGGGCAGGGGTGGTGTGGCTTAGGGCTCATTGTACCACTCAGGCTACTTTTGTATCCGTTTGAAAATTGTCATAATAAAGTTACAAAAGAATTCCACTCCTAGGTCTATACCCAGGAGAAATGAAAACATATGTCCACAAAAACATTTGTTCACAAATATTCATAGCAGCATTATTCATAATAGCCAAAAAGTAGAAACAACCCAAAAGTCCACAAAATAATGAATAGCTAAACAAAACGTGGTATAGCCAGAAAATGGAATATCATTCAGCCAAAAGGAATGAGGTACTTTCTTGTTAGTTGTGTTTTTTTTTGTGAGGAAGATCAGCTCTGTGCTAACATCTGCCAATCCGCCTCTTTTTGCTAAGGAAGACTGGCCATGGACTAACATCTGTGCCCGTCTTCCTCCACTTTATATGGGAGGCCGCCACAGCATGGCCTGACAAGTGGTGCGTCGGTGCGCACCCAGGATCTGAACCGGCAAACCCCGGGCCGCCGCAGCAGAGCGCGTGCACTTAACCGCCTGCACCACCAGGCTGGCCCCTGAGGTGCTTTCTTGAAACCATTATGCTGAGTGAAAGAAGCCAGTCGCAAAAAGTCACACATTGTGTGATTTAATCTACATGAAATGTCCTGAGTGGGCAAATGATAGAAGACAGAAAGTAGATTAGTGGTTGCCAGGGTCTGGGGGGTGGGTAGGGATGGAGAGTGACTGCTAATGGGTGCAGGATTTCTTTTTTTGAGATGATATAAATAATCCAAAATTGACTGTGGAGATGGATACACAACTGTGAATATATTAAAAGCCATTGTACACTTTAAATGGGTGAATTGAGTGGCATGTGGATTATATCTCAATAAGGTGTTATAAAAAAAGTTGGAAGAGAAATAGGATCAAGGGGTGGGGAGGGAGAAAGGAGGAGACGTCGTCAGTCACCATAAGGTCCATAAAAGTGGTTTAAACATGAAACCTGATTTAAATGTGACTAAAAATGTTGATTTCTGATCAATTTGCAAAAATTAAAGACTCAAAAAAGAAATCAATTGGCTAAAATACTTTTTAAAAAACACATTTTAGGGGCCAGCCCGGCAGCATAGTGGTTAAGCTTCCATGCTGCACTTTGGTGGCCCAGGGTTCACAGGCTCGGATCCGGGGCGCGGACCTACACACCGCTTATGAAGCCATGCTGTGGTGGCGTCCCATATACAAAGTAGAGGAAGATGGGCACGGATGTTAGTCCAGGGCCAATCTTCCTCAGCAAAAAGAGGAGGAGTGGCAACAGATCTTAGCTCAGGGCTAATCTTCCTCACCTAAAAAAAAAAAAATCCAACACATTTTAAAGCAGAAAAAAGAATCCATTCCAAAACCCTAGATCTCGAGCAAAAATTGTCAAGAGACCTAATCCAATTTAACCCGTACTGCCGCCTGGCCAGGAAGAGCCCAGTGTCTGGAAATATTCATTTTGGGGCCAAAAGGTTGTGAATTGGTAGAGTCCCGGGTCAGTCACCCCCAAGATCTCGGGAGTTTTGCTTTCCTCTCTGGGCCTCAGTCTTCTCATCTGTACAGTGGGGATGGGGTCCTCTAAGGAGGTCCGAGCCCTCCCAGCTGCAGCATTAGAGTGTTTCTGGAGGGCCCTTGGGCCTGGCCTGGGGTGAAAGCCCCTCCTCTGCCTCCCCGAGACCACGCCCTGTCTCAGGGAGACCCCCCCCAAGTCTCCTCCCTCCCCAGTCCCTCTAGCTGGATTCAGCTCCTCATTAGGCAGTTATTCAATGTCTGCCGTATACCGGTATGTCCGGAACAGAACTCACACCTCCCCCAAACCTGCCCTCCACCTCTCCCAGTAATGGCACCTCCCCCATAGCTACCAGACACCCAAGCAAGAACCAGGGGCCGTCCTGGACCTCCCCTCCCTTCCCCTCCCCAGCACACCCACTCTGCCCCTTCCCCCAGGCTTCCCTCCCTGCCTTCTGGCATCTCCTCTCCTCTCCAGGGCCCAGCCTCCTCCCTGCTACCTCTCTCCCCTTCCAATCCATTCTCCTCAGCATCTCCCATCCCTCACCGCCCCACTGCCTTCAGCATGAGGGCCGATGCACCTGACCCCCCTGGCTCTGGAGGCCCAGTCTGGCCCTGCCTGCCTCACATCACTGTTCTCCCCAGTTCTGTTCCTAGTCAGAGGAAGACTTGAAGCTCCCCACATGCTCCAACAACACTGTCTCCTCTGGGCCTTTGCCTATGCTATTCCCTCTGCCTGGGTGGCCTTTCTCCTCCATGGTTACCCAGGTGCTCATCTTTCAAGGCCCAAACAGCACGGGATCTGGCCACCTGCCCTGACTTTCCAAGCCAGAGTGAGCAACTCTGCCCTGTGCTCCCGAGGCACCTGGAACCCCCCTACGCCTCCAAAGGAGCCTTTGCAAATACTCAGAACACTTCCCCTGCCCCACCCTCTTTCCCCTGGGTGAGGCTTATCCCTCCTTCAGGGGTCACCTCCTCCAGGAATCCTTCCCTGACCTCTCAGAGTGGGTTAGGCTAGTCCTCTAAGCTCCTATAGCCCTCTGGGTTCCCACCATTAAAGCATGTGCCACACTATCAAGTGGCATCTGTTAATGAGGCATGCTTGCCCTTCAGACTGGGAGCTCCTGGAGGGAATGAACTGGCTCTGTTTGCCTCAGTGGACCTTATATCCAGAGAAACCCGGAGGCAGTGTTTGTTGATTGAAAGTCGGGATGCAGCCCTCAATCCAAAGCCCAGCCCTGCATCAAACGCTGCAGTCCCTCCAAGTAGCTGCCCCGCAGCTGCAGCTGCAGCTGCCAGCCCTCCCCGACCGGAAATGGGCTCCAGCTGGAGAGGCCCTGCTCTGCCCTCTTCCCCTGAGCTGGCCTGGCCTCAGTGCCCCAGGCCCTGCCTGGCCCTGCTGCCTCTGGCATCAGCTCCTCTGCCAAACGGGCAGTCAAACTCAACCACCTCCAGGGTGGGTGCTGGAGCCGAGCTGCCGGGTGGGAGAGGAGGAGGGTGGGAGGAGGAAGGGGCTCACAGGGGTGAGGGAGGAGCTGCTGCCCTGGCTCACCTGGCTTTTCAGTCCCAGACGACCCAGGCAACCCCGCCATGGAGGTCGTGGAGGACGAGGAGGTCGAGGAGTCACTGGAGGCAATGCTCCCGGGAGCCATTGCACAGGCAGATGCAGCCGACCAGCCCCTCCCCCAGGCGTGAGGCTGCCAGGCCTGCCCGCTCGTCTTGTATACCAGCGGCCCGGCCCCACCACTCCAATTAGCCCCTGATTGGGCTGGGAGGCTCTGAGCTGGTGATTGGGGCAGGAGGGCTGGGATGGGCACCCAAACTCAGCCACCCTTCCCGTGTGACCTTGGATGAGTCGCTTGACTTCTCCAGGTCTCAGCAGCTGTGGGAAAATGATGGGAGCTGAGATGCATGATCCCTCCTGCACCCTCTGCTCACCGGGGGCTGGAGATGCTGGTGGGGAATTGGGCACACCTGGCGTGTGGAGGCTCTCCCATCCCACTGCCCCAGCAGCCTCCTGTTCCCAGGCCGCTGCTGGCCTCGTTTCCTCAAGGAGTAGCAGTTGGAGGCTGGCCAGTGGGGCTTGCGTGGAGCAGACACCCCCCAGTCAACCTGTGGCCCTCTTTTTGTTTTGCTTTTTAAGAAAGAAATCTTTAAGTGACGAAAGAGCAATTTTAAAATAAAATTGCTTAGCAAGAGTCTCCATAGATAAGGACAATGTGCTTTGGGAAAATGGGCAAAAAATATGACCAGGCATTTCAACAGAAAGGCCGGTAAACACAGGAAAATATTCTCTACCTTCTTGGCGTTCAGGGAAATGCAAATTGAAACAATAAGATACTATTTTCCCATCAAAATGACAAAAATTGAAGACAAAATGTTGGCAACGATGCAGGCAGCTGGATGCAGAGGCCCTCACCGCCTCTGCCAGGGGTGTAAACAGGGGAACAGCCTCCTTTGGAAAGATATTCCCTTGAGCCCAGCAACTCCACTCTCGGTCCTGGAAGGGCATTAGCTGGAAAAGAAGTAATTGCCGTATTATTTGGAAAAGAAGCAAAGGTAGAATTAACTTCCAAGTGAATCACTTGGGGTTTGGCTACATTACTCCCTAGTGTAGAACACTCTGCAGCCATTTAAAATGACGAGGTGGCTTAAAACATGGATGAGGGTGTAGTTCACACCCAGAATGACAAATATTTAAATGTCTATCGATGCTGAGCATCCAGGGTCTGCAGAAATGCACAGCTGCTGGGAGGGAAGTCAGCAGTCACTTTATTAAGGAATTCAGCAATGTCTCAGATGGCCGACGGTGGACTCACGCCACATCCCACCCTTGTTACTTTAGGGATAAATCTGAGAGAAACTCTTACACTGATATACAAGGGCACCCATTGCACTCCTAGCAAAAATTCAAAACAACCTAAATGCCATTGGGAGGAGAGTGGACCAAGAAAACTGTGGTCTATTCACATGGTAGAATAGTACACAGCAGTGAAAATGAATGAACCAGAACGTTTCTGCGGAATATGCTCCCCACTTCTGAGAAGACAGAAATCGTGTGTGCGTGTGTGTGTGTGTGTATAAATGAGGGCACAGAAGAAGGTCTGAAAGGATTCATACCAAGGCAATAGCAGTGGTTACCTCCGAGGAGGACATAGGATTTGGAGGGGATGGGTTTACAACAGGCTTGCGTTTTTCTCTATGTAGTCTTTTCATTGTTGGCCTTTCCCCAGGGGACTCCCCATCACCAGAGGTCTGAATGAAAGAAGGCTGTGGCCATCAGAATGCTCTGAAGTGAAATCAGATATCACTCCCCTGCCTGGCACCCTTCATGGCTCCCACTGCGTGGGTGACAGTTTGACCCCTTCAGTCTGGCTATGGAGCCTCCTTGTCCCAGGAATTCCACAGTCCAACCACACTGTGGTTCTTGGAACGGGCTATGTGCTGACATCTGGGCTTTCCCCTTTGTGTTTCCTCTGTGAGTGTGTCAGACTGATGCAAAAATGACCCCGAGTTTTCACCCCTGCCCGTATCCATGCCCATTTGCAGTGTGACTTTGTAGCTCTGCCCAGACTCCTTGAATCTGAGCTGGCCTTGTGACTTGCTTTGACCAACAGAATGTGGTAGAAGTGATGTTTGGCCAGTCCCACTCCCATGTGAACAAGCCCTGGCCAGCCTGCGGATGCCGAAAGGCCCATGGCCCAGTCACTCCTGTCACCCAGCCCACAGCTTGCCAACCCAGCCAAACCTCCAGTTGACCACAGACGCTCGAATGAACCCAAGCTGGACTGAGCTCAACCAAGCTCAGTCCAGATCAACAGAACTGTCCCGCTGACCCACAGAGTCATGAACAACAATACATAGTGTGTTGGTTTAAGCCATGAAGTTTTTGGGGTCATTTGTCATGCAGCGTAAGCTACCTGATACACTCTGCCTAGAGTTACCACACCTACCTTCTCCGGACTATTTCCCCCACTCATCCTTTTGACCTTAGTGTAGATGTCACTTCCTGGGAAAAGCCCTCCCTGACCCCCTAGAAGGTGAGGGACCCCCTCCTCTGGTTGCCAGCAGCCCCTGGACTTGCTCTCTGGGAGGCTCTGGCACCCCAAGTTACAACCCTGCCTTACCTCTCTCCCACACTATCCCCTGAGCTCTGCTGGCTGGGAGAGGGCAGGGCTGTGTCTTACTCCTAGTGGTGTCCCTGATGCTCAGCACAGCGCCTGGCACGCAGTAGGTGCTCAATACCCATTGCTGTGGAAGCTGGTGCCAGGGTCCAGCTTGGCTGAGCGGAGGGAGGCCTGAGAACCATCTGTGGGAGCCACGCTAGAGCAGGAGATGAGATGAAGTAACGAGGCGCACGGAAGCTGGCACAAACGGGGGCAGCAATTTTGATCACATTTGTGGAGCGTTTCCAAGAATTGAGAAATTGAGAAAGACTCAGCGATACAAACATCCCCACGAGCTTCATCTGAAACCCTGGTCCTGGGCTGTGCCAGGATAGAGTTTTGCATTTGGAGGGAAGAAGTTCTGAAATGTGCTGCGTGATCTAAAAATTCCTCTAGAGGATTGCCTTTTTACAGAGAAGTCATAATTGGGAGGCTCAGGCTGCCGGGGAGAGGATGGGCTGCTTGGTGCACCTCTGACTGAGGCCCGTGTGGAATTTAAGTTCTGATTGAATCGCTTTAACCGTCTTGGGACACTGAATGGGGTCCTCCTACATGTGAGTTTTCTTATAGTTCTGAACTTTTTGAAGCAGTTATAAGGGGTCTGCTTTGTGTAACTCTAGCCCCTGTGGTATCAGGACATTTGTGACTTTAGGTCAATAAATGCATAGAGGGCAGGGTAGACATAGTAACAAATGTTCGATATCCCTGTAAATATTTTATATTCACTATTTTATTTGTACACTTAGAACTTGCACTTAGATCTTCCTGAGCCCAAACCCTGGGTTGCAAGCTGGAAGCCCTCTGTGTTAGTTAAGAAACCAGCTACAACCCAAATAACAATGGCTTAAACAAGAACCCATGAGATCATTCTCTCGTGAAACTCTTCAAGTATAAGTTGCGCAAGGCTGGTAAGGCAGCATGGCTCCTTCTTTCTTGATGCTCTGCTGTTCCCTGCCCACAGATTTTTACCTCATGATCCAAGATGGCTACTGCAGCTCTGGTCATCATGACTACATTCCAGCCATCAGGGAGAAAAGAAGAGAGGAAGTGGAGGGCTCCTCCATTCTCTGAAATGCACAACCTAGAGACTGCACATGTCACTTCAGATTACACTCCATTGGCAAGATCTTAATGTTGTGTCACTGCAGGTGCAAGGGAAGCTGGGAGATGCAGTCTTGTGCTGGGTGGCTAGGTGCCCAGCTAGAACTTGGAGTGATATTACTAAAAGAAAGAAAGGGAATGAATACTGGGGACAGTTAGCTTCCTCCTTTCCTGAGATCCCTCCATTATTGCAATCTCTTTATACGCCTACCTCCCACACGGGGCTGCTCCTTTGAAGCTGGTTCCCATCTCTGGGACGGGAACTCACACATACTGAACGCCTCCTGTGTGCTGCATCTTTTATGTCAATAATCTCACTAGTCCCTTTAGACAATTCTACCAGCTGTGGTGATTCTCCTCTTTAAAGCCGAGGGGCCTGAAGCCTAGTCAAGTTCAGGGACTTGGCCTGAAGTCACACAGCTGGGAAGGGTACCCGCTGTCTCCCTGGGGACACTTTGGGCTGTCAGGAGGGCGTGTCTCTACTGGGGAGCAGGGGGCAGGGGGCAGACTGCTATCAGTCCCTGCTGACTCGGGGTCGGGGGATTCACGCTCTCTCCTCCCAGAGGCGAGATCAGGGTGAGAGAGCTCTGTGACCCTGAGGCTGGCCAGGTCACAGCCCAGAGACTAGCTCCCTCCAATCCATCTCTGAGTCCCCAGCACATGCTGGCCTGGGTCGGCTTCCTTAGATTGGGTTGAGTGGAGATACGCGTACACAACGGGCACCCCATAGAGCTGGTGACTGCCTGCAGCCTGGAGACGAGCTGGGGGACACCCTCTCCCCAGCCTGCAGCAGCAGCTCTTTGCCTTCATATATGGGAAGCGCCCCATCAGTGGCTGTCAAGTCAACGTAAATTAAGGAGGTCAAGAGGCTTTCCTCTCTACCAGGAAAACCAGAGAATGTTCTGGTTTTAGAGTAAATTTTTTCTCTGAATGTGCGGCTGAGACAAATGCATCACTCTGCAGAATAAGTGGACTGGGGTGGGGGAGTGTGAGGACAAGGCTGTCTGCAAGGCAGGGTGGCTGAAATACCGCCATCCCTCCCACTGCCATGCCTGGCCCAACACAGCTTCTGAAATGGAGGCTGAGGCCTGCGGGACCAGCCATGGGAATCCTCCCCCTTCTGTCCCCAGTGTGGGATGGAGGCCTGGTCTAGCCAGATGTCACCGAGTTGGACAGAGTCCATCCCCTCTGGGTTGCTGTTGGTTCTGCCCGCCCTGCCTCCGGCCCTCTGCCTTCTGGTAACAACACCCCTGGATTTCCTCTGGCCTCCTTCCTGTCCCCAGCTGCAGACCATTTGGTTTATATGGGGTTAACTCTATCTTGGGCTGCAGGGGCAATCAGGTGACCCAGGCCTGGCTGATCAGAGGATGAATCTCCATCCCAGC